ACCATTGTTGTGTGGTTAACTGTTCAAACAGGAGGTCCAATTTGCCGAAAGGGCACGCTTTTCACCAGATACCGGCAGCACCGATTTCCCGTCGTAATGCCTGGATAAGAGCAACGGGCAGGAAGCTTGGTAAGAAGCGAGGAGAGTTGACAATTACAGAGAATACAAAGGTGTGCGGTTTACATTTTGTGTCGGGTAGAAAGAGCAATGATCCCACGAATGTTGACTACATTCCCACTCAAAATTTACCGATTCAGATAAGTACTGCCTCTAAAAGACGAACGAACAACAGCGAACGGGCTCAGAATTATTCGACAGCTGTAAATAAAGCCATTTCTGATAAACGAAAAATTTTACAAAAGTCTGGAAAATTTTCATTTCCACTCGATTTAAAAGATGTACAGAATGAAATTGAAATATCTGATGATCAGAATTGTGAAAATACAATCGATGTAGTAGTGGAGTTCCCTGTATCCCCTGGTGCCACGCCTGATCATACTTACTACAAATTTTGGGTGACACCAACCAAATATAATTTAGACAGTGCAAATTTCTGTACAGACACTTCTTCACAAGCTGTGTGTGAAACTGAAACCACCTCAGTACAGACTGAAACTGTTATTAGCTCTACCTCATATTCTACAGGTGTTCAAGTTGACACTTTTGAAGGACATACTACTAACCTCACAAATATTCAACTTAAACATCACCAAAAACTTATTAATGAACTACAAGAAAAAGTAAAACTACTTGCTAAAGAAAATGCATGTTTAAACAAGAAATTGTTTTGTGTTGAAAACTTAATGACTTGTAATGAAAATGCCCAGTTTTACACTGGTTTACCAAATTTAGAAACTTTCAATGCTTTATTTACCTATTTTGAACCAAAAGCATCTAAAATGACCTATTGGCAAGGAAATGAAACTACAGTTCGAACTCATGAAAACAAAGGCCCTTCCAGGAAACTGAGCCTTAAAAATGAATTTTTTGCAGTGTTAGTACGTTTAAAACTTGGGCTTTTAGTTGAAGATATTGCTAACCGCTTTGATATTTCTGCATCTCTATTTTCAAAAATATTTAACACTTGGATTCGTTTTCTACGTCTGGAGTTGGAGGTGCTGTTTCCTTTTCCTTGTAGGGAAAAGGTACAGAGTTTAAGACCAGATTCTTTTAGCAAGTTTGAAAATACTAGAATAATACTGGACTGTACTGAAATTCCTATCCAAAAACCTTCAGCTTTAAAAGCTCAGCGAGAAACATGGAGTTCTTATAAACATCGAAACACGTACAAGGCGCTGGTTGGAATAACTCCTGATGGAACTGTGTCCTATGTGTCAACTTTGTATGGAGGAGCTGCATCAGATAAATTCATTGTTCAAAACTCTGGCATACTTGACCTCATAGAACTGGGTGACAATGTCATGGCCGATCGAGGCTTTGAAATTGATGCGGAGCTAAATAAAAGAGGTGCTAGTTTAAACATTCCCCCATTTCGCAATGGAAATTTTCAGTTGTCCAGTGAACAGGTAGAAACTACACGCCGAATTGCTGAGGTTAGAATCCACATCGAAAGAGCGATTCAGAGAATAAAAACTTTTCACATTTTAGACAGAACTATGCCTCTAAGTTTGCATATTGTTGCTGATGATATCTTTAAAACTTGTGCATTGTTAATCAATTTTCAGACTCCTATCATAAAATAAATGAAGTATAGTTTTTGAGATTTTAGGTAATATCATTTGTTCTGCACTCTTGACAGTTGATGAAATAATGTACATGCAGTTACTCTGTACAATGTAAACCGGACATATGCATATTATTACCTGTAATGGTCTATTCAAGGAAATCAATTTTTTTCCTAGCTATCATGCTTTATAATACTTCACTTTATTGTAATGCGTGTTTTGCTTTGATATTACAAGAAAAATGTTTTTTGCTACATTAAAATCTTTAAAATGCAGAGAATTTTTGTGCATTTAATTCTCAGATTGCATAACTGTAAATTAAATTAATACAAAATTTATGAGTGATTAGCAAAAGCATTCAATTCAATTGGCTGACTGAAATTACAGTAAAACATGCTTCTAACGAATGCCAGGGACAATTTTGCTTTGTTGTAAGTGTAATTCATTATATACAATAAGTTTACAGTATTATTTCTATATGGGGACTGAAAATCACTTTGGTATGAGCATCAATTTATTATAAGGGTATTCGCTGTAATCATGGTTTACTGTATGTATAGTGGGAAAGTTATGCCACTAGCTGATAATTGTAAGAAACAAATAGCCATATTTCCATCCAAGTCAGTAAAGGTCTGCAGTTTTCCCACCTAGACCATCAGTAAAAATATTTTTGTACTACCACCCACATTTTTTTGGTATAGGTTTTTTTTTTTTTTGCTTTACAGTATTGGACAAAATGATTACTGTCATAAAAGTCAGACTCAGAAATTTATTGATGTTTGCATTACACGGATAGCTTAGTATACAAATTGATTATTTATTGCTATACAACTTTAAATCAAAATACATCCTAGAAAAATTATGGTATACTATAGAAACTAAAAAAAAAATCAAAGTGCTGAAAAAAAATTAATGGGTAGGGGCAATTTCAATGGGTTGGTTGGAGTACATCAAACAAACATTTTCTTTATTGGTGGCCCTATACTTAGTATATCCTATGCATATAGTAAAACTTTGATCTCCTATTGTGACCCCAACATACCACCAGTTGTCTTGATTTTATATAATAATTCTTTTCAGTTTCTACACAGTAATGTCTTATCCTTTCAGAGTCAGGGGTCACAATTCTTCAGAGTATGTAAATGTAAATAGTAGAAGATAACAGACAGAAGCCAATTTTCAATCAGAAAAACTTCTTCAAGCTAAGGTTAGGCCTAGAAAAAAATATGTTTGTTTCCACTTTCAGGCTGAAAAAAAAATTATAGGGTAGATCGGTAGGCAATTTTTTTTTTTTTTTTTTGAAATTTTTTTTTTAACTTCTTTAATCAAAACGTGTATAGAAGTAACATTAATGACAAAAGAAATAGTGTTTTCAAGCATTTCTGTGACTTAAACTTATAATAGAAAGGTGACTCAAACTTCTTTCTGTCTTGAAAAGCTTACGAAGTTAGAGACTATAATTCCCTGGGTGAAATCTTGCACTACATGGGACAAAAGCATTAGAAAAATTTTAAGGGTCGGCACTATAAATTAGGGTCGGTCGGGAAAGCGGAAACAAACATATTTTTTTTCTAGGCCTTACCTAAAATGACCTCTAAGAAATTAATTACCAGTATAACTGTAATATAAACTGACATAATTAAATTTGGCTTTCAATATTTTATTTTGACCTTGTCTTATTATTATGACACACAAGTTCATAAAGGTCAAATAATTATTCATTTAATCTAATTACTATAGTACAAATGTTAATGTGTAACATAAAGTTAATACATAATGTTCAATGGATTGACAAATATGTACTAAATGTTACATAATTTAAAAGAGGGAATCAACTTTGGATAATACGAGAATTCATTGCGTTTTCATCAATATCTCATTTAACTTCTAACAAGATTTGAAAAAAATCACTAACATATGGAACACCTCTTCATTTTAATATGGAAAAAAGTAAACATGGTATTCTTAATAATATACTGTATATCAAAGCATGATGTAATCACTTATGCATTGTAACACAAATAATGATCCTAGATGTAGAAATTAAGTTGACAATGTCATGCACTACACACATTGTTATTTGAAAGTTCACTTCTCTTTTCTCTCGCATAAGTACCATGAAGGGATTTGAATGGAGAAGGAGTCATGACACCATATATGTACAACACCTTGATTCAAAATTTTGATATATCAAAAGCTGGCAGACCAAATTTCACAGAGGGGTAAACAATTTCTGGTAACATGAAATAATCATAAAACTGTGTAAGTTTATGTAAAACCCTCTCCCAAAAATGTTTGTCAAATGTAACCATCTCTATATGAATGTCATTCTTAGTGCACAAAACAAAGTAACATTTTGAAATATTTAAGATTCCCATTTGTCCCTGAATCTGAGTATAATAAGAATGTTTTACATTGAGACAGACCTCATTATTTTCATTCATTTTCAAGCAGGGCAACTTCTTTGCTGCTGATGGTATGTCCATGTCCCATGTTGAAGCAGGATTTTTCAGTTCTAAAACGAATTGTTCGCCATTTATCAAAGCAATGCCATCAACAGAAGCCCCTAAAAATGTACAGTGTGAATCAACAACCAGGCCTTTTTGTTCAACAATAACGTCATGTACATGTATACCCTGTTCTACCAACTTAGATTTAAATTTCTCAATAGCTTTTTTTTCTTGCTGTAGTCCGAACAGCATTGCATTTGTCGGTTTCATTTTGTTATATAAAAAATATCTTAGAAGTTTTGATGGATCTGTTGTACTTCTGCGTACAAACACTTTGTGAAAGTCAGATGCAGTGAGTCTGTATTTTCTAGCACTGTGCCATTCTTGCGAGCTTGACTGACCCCTTGTTCTTGATTCCAATTCAACTACTTCATTACCATCCAAATGTAAAGAGTCTTTAAAGTACATGCAAGCATTTTTTAAGTCTAATATACTTGGAGGCAACTCAAAATCTGTAAAATGTTTAACAGTAGACACTATTTCTTTGGTGAGTAGAGAAGACTCAGTAACGTTGGGAACATCAGGAACTGGCTTGTTATACTTAATGAAACCACACGTTGGATTGGCACCTTCCAAAGCTTCAGTCAAACGAGATTTGGATTCCTCTTCTTGAAGTTGATCTACAGGTGGGCGAGGATCAAACTCCAAGGATGCCAAGGTCTCCCTCCCTTTCACCACTTTTCCTGGCTCCTGCCTACAATAATAATGAATTATGAAGTATTTCTTTACTAGCAGTGTGTGCTTTTCAATCAATATTTTCAATGAAACAAAGAGATCAATACTGCTATATTTTTTGTACTTAAACTTGCTTTAGTTTTTATGGTTATTTACATGTGTGCTCATTGTGCCAGTCCCACCTTACTCCAGGGGTCATAATTTGAACAAACTTAAATACAGTAAAACCCGGTTATAGCAAAGTTCTGGGGACCTGTGAATTCAATTTGCTATATCTGAAATTCATTATATCCGTATCACAAATTCGTATAACCAGTATAGCGAATTTGCAGTATGCATGTTTTCCTTCAAGTATTATTACCTACTATGTTAGTGAAGCAAGTATTACAAAATATATCTTCAATAACTAAGGTTTTCTTATGAATAGAAATATATAGACAAATGCTAAAAGGAAATAAAGTAAGTTCAATTTATTAATTTTTTAATAATCTTTGAAATTTCATTATAAAACATGTAAATTTCATTATATTTAATCTCAACGGGATTCAAAATAAGTTCGCTATATCTGTAAATTCGTTATATCAGACTTCGCTATAACCATAAAATTTTACAATGATTTGTTAAAAATTTTGCCGGGGACCCAGGAAAAGTTTTTGCTATATCCGTGAGTTCACTTTATCCGAGTTCGAACTAGATGAGTTTTGCTGTATCTGAACTGTGGATGTTTCCAAACAAGTATCATCTTTCCTTAATTTATTCCTTAAAAATAGTAGAACCCTTTAACATGTTCATTGTCTAGTGATCTTTACTCCTTAATCATAAAAGTACATACTACTCGACAAGTAATAATGAATGTGAATTACTCATTAATAATGACCATACTTGACTATCCTGATATTGTGTATAGTTTTAGGCTCTGTCTTTCTCTTTGCTGGTTTGTTCCATTGGCACAGTTTTTCTGTAGAAGACCTGTCCTCTGGTAGATCTTTCAGTCCCTTAGCAACAAAGTCATCCAATGCAAACAGCAATGCTGCTATATGGCCGCATGCCTCACCCTTCCTACAAATTATAGTCTAAAATAATTAAAATTGTCATGTCGGGCCTCAAAGGGCAATATTTTAAAACCAAATTTCTAATGCCCATAAGCAGTACATGTATTCATATTTTGTATTTATTTTCTCTAGCACTGTGGAATCTTCATTTCCATGGGTATCAAACCCATATCCATGAATTTATTCTAAATGTATTATATTTTATTTGTTTGATATTTGGCA